AATGCCATTGATCTCTATGAAGTGAAACATCAGCTTCATCATACACCTGGCGCGTTGATCGTCAATTGGGCTTTGTGAAGTGGCACTCAAAGTAAAATTAATTTCAACACTTTCTTTCGTTAATAAAATGAGCATTTTAAAGCATGCATCAGTGCTGATACGTTTGAAATATCAGCACTTTTGGAAAAACACTTTCTGTCAAAAACACAATCGGAGTTATATTAAAAAATATCCTGGCTCTTCCAAGCTTTATAATGGGAGTGAATGGTACCTTAAATTTTGAAGCCCAAAAAAGCGCATCCATCCATCATAAAAGTAATACAGCTCCAGAGGGTTATTAAAAGCCTTAGGGTTATTATTGAAGCGAAGCGATGCATTTTTGTAAGAAAAATATCCATATTTATAACTCTAAAATAAACTAATCACTGGCTTCCGGAAACGGCCATAAATCATCATTGTAGTGATTTTAAGAAATACCACTTTCTTACATAAGTGATATTGATTTTATGCAATAGTTCTTTAAACAAGTTTCATTTTAAAGAAGGCAACTATATAGTTATATATATATAAATATATATAAATAATTAAAAAGGTCAGTTTTTGCTGTAAATGTGACTCCAAATCTCCATTTACAATATGGCAGTAAAGAGGCAGTCTAGGCCTCCTGAAAGGCCCTGTTCAGAAAGACTTGAAGCATTTGTTGTTGTCATTCGGTCTTTCTTGTGTAGATTAACAGCATTGTTTCCTCTAAGCCTGCAGAATACTGAAGGCAACCGCTGCAGAACCGATGTCGCTCGACCTTGTCTTGTTTTTCTACTGCCAAGCCAATACCGGCTCAAATAAAAGCGCAAGACAGGACTGAATCATAGCAAGGCATCTCTAATCTGATTGGCGGGAGTTCTCTAAACAGACACAGCGAGAGGAAGCCTGTTCCTGACCAGAGCCTCTTAGATTCCCAAGCAATGTAGAGAGTGGGGGAACAGAGCATAAACAACACTGTTTGCATTTCTGTCACATACTTGATAATATTGCTGTGCTGATACCAAACACTATTTAATAATATTTGCTGTTTTGTAAGGCAAGTGTTACTCTTATTATTGCTCGTATTTAAGTTAGTGTTGCACCCAATTATTATTATTATTTTTTATTTTTATCAAAACAAGTTTTCAATTAGCTGAAAACCGAAAATAAAGTTTAGTTAATAATCCATTACACACAATGTACACATTTTTGTTTTTGTTTTGTATAGGCTACACATGCATTGCACACTTCACAAGATCTATTTGGATTTGCTAAAGTTTGGTAGGTTAGTGAAATTAAATATTAAATGATATAAATGTGTATTTTATGAATGCTTAGGGAAGATGAGAAAGTATAATAGCACTTGTTGTTCTATTACTAATAATAGAAAAGCGAACACTATAATAGTTTGTCTTTTACCGTTTTTTTTTTTTTGTTTAACTTTTTTTTTTTTAGACAACTGTTAAACACAGACAGTAAACTAATGAAGACGTTGGTGTTCTCCGTGCTTTTAAAATATATGTCCTGCTTCCGACACTGGAAAAATCCCTCTCATCTAGCAGCTCCCTAACAGCACTGTATAGCTGGATAACACCCTAGCAGCGTGACAGCGAGTTTTGCATGGCCAAGCGCCACTCATTTTACCCTTATTTTACATGTGTGGCTGAGTTTTCCTGATTAACACATGCAGTGTTTTAAGTAACTTTTTGTTCCACTGCAGCCTGACCAAAGTGAAGTCATGTTTTTCCTATGATCTGGTGCCCCTGGACACAGTTATTTTTCATAAGTGTTGCATTTAAAAGAACCAGAGATTAGAGCTCTTTCATTGACCCAAACGTGAACGGAGTCAAGCAATTCCCACTTCTGATTGCAGTCTTTTTTTTCTTTTGAGTGTGAAGTGCGTAGTTGTAGTAGGGTCTTTTTTAGTCCCACTTTTTATTCACACACACTTGATTGGAAGCCAGTCAAGTTTATTGTCATATAATACTTCTTAAAGGGATAGTTCACCCAAAAATGAAAATTCTGCCATCATTTACTAACCCTCAAGTTGTTCCAAACATGTATGAATGTCTTTCTTCTGCTGAACACAAAAGAAGATATCTTGAAGAATATGGGCAACAAACAGTTGATGGGCCCCATTTTTTTTTTCCATGCTACGGAAGTCAATGGGGCCCATCAACTGTTTGGTTACGAAATTCTTCAAGATACCTTCTTTTGTGTTCAGCAGAAGAAAGACATCCATACATGTTTGGAACAACTTGAGGGTGAGTAAATGATGGCAGAATTTTCATTTTAGGGTGAACTATCCCTTGAACATTATTCAATATTTCGTATTATACAAGAGTGCAATTTTTTCTTTCAACTCTCAAGCCTTCATTTGGTGGAAAACTAAATAAATGTTTTAGTGTCTCTTTTCTCTGACAGGTGTTTTTGCTGTGTATGTTATGTTTCAGTGCTGGTACCTTGGCTAGTTTAGGCCTGTCGTGGACAGCTGACTCTCGAAAAGCTTTTCATATTCTTCAAATTCTGAGCAGTGGTTAGTTCACAGAAGTGACAGAAAGGAACTTTTTCATTGAGGAGTGATATTTGCCGTCCTAAATTGATTCCCAGAGGAATTATTTACCTTTGCAAGAGCATTTTGTTTCTAACCTTACTAGATGTATCATCTTTTATGTGAAATTCTTACATTTTAATACATTTAATTAGAATAGGACTACAGGGTGTTACCAATCAAATTAAATGAGTTTCAACAACTCTCAAGCGTTCGTTTGGTGGAAAACTGAATACATGTTTAAAATGTCTTTTAGTGTCTCTTTTCTCTGAATGGTGTTGCATTAGATTTGTGTGAAGTGGTTAGAAATGTTCGGAATGTGAAAATAAAGGGATGCTGGAGTGCTTTGCATGACAAATGTAAAATTGAACAGACCTGAGACACTGAAAACGCTGTATCATGAGTGCATGTAGTAGAATACAGGCAGTGTATCACATGCAGACTATATATTTCGCACAAGGCCATATTTTTTTAAGAAGTTAATTGTGTAGCGCTGCAATGTACCTTGAAGATGACATATTTCTCTTGCAAATGCCGACACATAAACCGTTGAATGACTTCTGTTTTTTGGGTTTGCCGCCTGGCTGTTGCAGTCAGGTAAAGAAGGGACCCTGTGATGCTGGCAGTAAAAGCAGCATTCAAATAAGCAGCGGGACAGGCCTCTCTGCTGTGCGCAGGGGTTTTCCTCTCCCCATTTCCTCCACTGTCCTCAGCATGACTGTGCTGAATAAAATCTCTAAATTAATTTGAGCTGTTCTCCACAGAGAGCAGCGGCGCCACACTGAGTAGCAGATCTCCCCAGTGTTCATCCACACGCAGCTGTGCTCATGCTCATCAACTGTGAGTCAACAGCACTGCTCTCTTCTCCTCACATTCACCTCTCAGCGCTGGAGTGAACAGTGCACTGAGGCACAGAGCTGGGAGTCATGCCAGGACATAACATGCAGTGGTAGAAATGTGTCAGCCGGTAATGATTTTGCTGTATCATTTATACCGGAGTTGATACATCAATGCTGTTATAACGTGAGGCATGACAAAACATGTCCGAGCGGGTTGTTTCCCAAACAAATCAAGACCTTTTTTTTTAATCTTTTTTTTTAAGAAAGCTTAGTATTTTAACATCCAAAAACAATTCTCACATCTGTCATCTATCCGTTTCATATGCAGAGACAACTATAAATAGGTGATTTGTACGGTTGATTTCCTCAGTAATACTAATTTTAACTTTTAGAACTATAAAACGTTGTTTGTTTGAGCTTTCTGACCAGCCTGACATGTCAACTTTGACTCAAACAGTGACGACCATTGGGAGATGGTGGAGGTTTTGGGAAACTTGTTTGAAAACAGTCATCATTATTGTAGCACTTTTGCTGTTGCGGAGTAACAATAGGTATGCTAAATACATTCATTTTCGTCAATCGTAATGAATCCAATCTAATCAATTTGTGAGAACCCTAAATGTTGTAATCCAATTCATATTCATTTACTTGTGCATTACATGTATTCCAAACAAAACTTTTGATGTCCCGTTCGGTGCGGGATCACATCCTTGTCAGTATAGTGATAGGTACTGTAACTGTGATGCAGGCTCTTTGCTTTATTTACATGTCCATTGAATATTAATGAGGGCCAACGTTTATTGAGCAGGTATATTTGCTTATTTCCATGAATCCCAGTTCTGTTTGTCTGTTCCACTACTGGTGGAATTTAATGAATGGAGAAGATTGTGAACAGTAAATTTTTTTTTTTTTTTTTTGCCGTTTAGTCTCAGACCTGTCTGTTTTGCTTAATGCAGTAGCCCAGTGCATCTTATTACCCAGGATGCTGTGTGTTCTCATGTATGAAACTCATTTCTGTTCTTTTTTTTTTCTGAAGTTTGATTTTTATCATCACAAAGCTGTGTAAAATATATAATGCTGTTTACTTTGTCTAAAATAGTGAAATTCTTTTAAATGGTATCTACTTTTTTTAAATAAATAAAAAACTAAGCTTTCTTAACGGCATCTGTGACTTGCTTACTGCACACAATAATGTCAACTTGATCCTCAGTTTGAAAAACATGCAAACGTCTTGTTTAATGTAAAGCACCTCCAATGGAACTCTGGGGCATGTCTGTCTGAGAGATTAAAAGCAGAAATGTCAATCTTGTATTTTTGTTAGTGTTATATTTGTAGTATTATTACTTCAATTAATCATCTTTTTTTTTTTTTTTTTTTTACTTGAACTGTTAAGTGTAAAAGGCCCACTGGCGAGACATTACTGATATAATTCCTTTTGTTGGAGTTTGCTGACGGTAAACAGTACTTTACAAATGTTTACAAATGACCAATTTACTTTATTTTTTTTATTTACTTATTTATTTTATGCGGGTCACACCCGAGTCATACTAACATATGTAATGTATGGACGTGTTTTTGTCTTTGTACAGAATGTCATCAGAGGATAAGAGTCTGGATCCCTCTGAGCAAGGACCATCTCCTCCCCTGAGCAGTGCTGGGGCCACGCCCTCAGGGAGCCCGGCCCCCTCAGATAGACGCCCACGGGGCCGGCCACGCAAGGATGCTAACTCTGTCACACTCACACCACAGTCCAAAAGAAAGTAAGAGCATGTCCTGTTCCCATGCGAAGGTGTCCGCATATGATGACACACTTGGAGCTGACCTTGTGTCTGCTTTGCATTTTCCTCTGTGGTGTTTAAAGCAAGAATTGAGAATATTATAACTTGACAAATCACTGACAAGTTTATTATATTGAAGAGCTTGATGAATGAAACCATTGGCACAATTTTCTGGTTTATTAGTCATATGTTATTCATTTCTATCATAGTGATATTCCACTGATTGGCAGAACTGAAGGTTATCATTTGCCCAGCAATTAGATTGAATCAATAAGTCTAACACCAGGAACGATCATGATATTTATGGGGATTTATGAGGCTAGTTAATTCTGTCATGATGTTATTATGATGACTTGATTATTTTTCCTGCCCCCCACCCTCCCCTTTTTTTAGTATTAAAGTATTAGCCAGTTTTCCAGCTTATCACCTAAACTCCCTTATGCCTATTTAAACTATTCATTAATACTTTGAATTATTTAATTGCTTTCTATTAAGAAACCTTCTGGATAAATCATGTGATTAGGGTCAGATGTATGTTAAGGCTCGGGGAATGTGTTTGTTAACACAGTGTGTAGGGCTGTACGATTTGGAGAAAAATAATTCTGATAAAAATGGCATTTGCGATTTAGACTTGCTGTGCTTGTTTGTACGGCTGTAAAATATGGCCAACATGTTAAATCATTATGGCCATAATAGCAATAATAAAAATGGCTATTATTATTATTATAAAATAAAATGAGAATTATTAAACAACAAATTAATTACTATTTTTTTTTAAATAAAGTATATATTGTACTAGTCAATATACACTATTCAATAACATTTTTAGAATAATTTTAACTGTAATATGTTATATTTATGGTTGTCTTTATTTTTATTTTCAATCTTTAAATGACCAAACTTTTATTTTGATAGAAAACCGCAGGACGCCCTTAAAGGTTCTCTTTTGATAAGTGCTCTCATTTCTAGAATGGATAGATGGTTGGTGCATGTTGCGTTCCCAAATGCACATTAAAACGACCCAAACTCAGAGCAGACGCAGAGATGAGTTCATGAGGAGCATTATTTACAATGAACCGAGCCAGGGTGAGATGCTGCAAAAACATTTCATTAAACCACAGCCTTTGCGACTGATAATCACAATTAGCCATATCGTGATTTTGGTTTCATTTCGATTAATCGTGCCCTACCAGTATGTGTGTGTGTGTTTTGAGAGGGCTGTGTTCTGGTATTCTGTATTCCGCTGCACCTGGAAGAGGCTTTCAAGTATGTCGATGTGCATTAGTGTGGAAGAGCTCTGTGAGGCACACGAGGAGATGCTGCTCAGAAGGACGACTTTTTTTTTTTGCCAAGTTGATTTTGGCTCCAGGCAGCGTATATCTGCTCTTTCACAGCATGGGGCGTACGAAAGGGGAAATATTAGACCGGCTGTAATTCTGAATGACACCGTCTACACCGGACGTGAGCGATGATAAAAAAAAAACTACTGTTTTGTTGTCATTATAATCAACAGAGGCGGGCCGACGTGGTGCGTCATCAGTTCATGGACGCCCCTGTTCTTTTTCTAATGTTCTGCACAGCTAATCTGCCATTTTTATTTTTCCTGGTTTTCTGTAAAGACTCAATAGTTCACCCAAAATCATCATCAAAAAAAAAAAAAAAAAACGGACTTTCTTGCTTGTGCGCAGCACAAAAGAAGAAAATTTGAAGGCCGTTTTTCATGCAGTGACAAAAAGGACACAAAAGCGACACGTCATAAAAGTGCCGTGAGCCCAAGTCTTCTGAAGCCATATAATACTTTGTGTGAGAAACATAGGACTCCATAGGAGTTACATTTTTGGGATTTAAATTGGATTTAAAAACCTTGTTTACTTTGTAGAGTGTTTTCTATAGAGTTCTATTGAGGTTGTACAGTACATGGTCATGCTGACACCGTGGAGATGATTATCATCAAAGTGATTCATTCTTTAACAACCTCAAACCATTTTGAATGCTGTTTATTACGTGCTGATGATAATGCCATGAGCATTATAACTCTCTTATAATCTTAAAATACATAATCCTTTCATTACTTTAGGAGTCATTTAGCTGGTATTTGATGAGTTTCTAGCCTGTGATGGGAATACGGGGCCTCCACTATGAGATCAAGTGTTGGCCGTCAAATAAACAGTGCAGATATAGGGCAGATTAGTGAGGTACCTGATACTGCAGGTACAGTCCTCTGTGGACCTACACGCCATGTTCACACCATGAATGTTGTGTCTCAATGCGCAAACCTCACTCAATTGAGATCTCGGTTTCAAAGTGATTGTACAATTGTCTGAACTGGCTGAAAGGAAAGGCTTTCAGTTAAAGGGGAAGTGTCTGAATTCGGCAGCATAGCATCATGACTGGTTTCAAAATTGACTGCTTTTATACAAGTTTCCCTAAAACACTTTCCCTGTCTGGGAGATGGGTATATATAAAGGTCATCTGAGCAATTTGTTTAATACTATTTGAGTTGTCCCTGCTTCATAGAAACTAAGTAAACTATTCTGACTACAACTATCATTTGAAGGTTGAAATATGTAAACACAACAACTCTGTGTGTGTGTGTGTGTGTATATTTAGACTTAATAGCTGAACTTGCAGTTGGATGCTTGATTGTGAAGATCTGTCTGTGACTCATTGGTTTACCACTAAGAGCTTGTCTGACCACCACAGTCTGTTGACTGACATGTTTAAGTGGTTCTTTGCCAGAATGTCAAACGTAAGGCTATTCTGAATGTTATATTTGTGTTTTGATGTATCAAATAAAAAGATGAATATACATAAAGATAGAAGTTGGTTGGTTGATTTATGGAGTTGTTATTGAAATGATATTGATTTAAAAAAAATGTACATTTTTATTTATTTTTGTTTGCCAGGCATTTTTCATGATTTTAAATTAAGAATACTGTTGATTTAAATGTTTTCCATAATATTTCAACTTTTTTTGTGGAACTGACTTCTGTTATTATGACAATGTCTCCAGCCATATTAAATCCAGTTTATAGCTGGATATGATTGTAGATCCTGTCAACGTTTTAAAAGCTGTTGACATCTAAGATTTGATGTTGGATTTGTTCTAGTCTTTCAATTAAAAACACTTGCCTCAGATATATTTCTAATTCAGGTCCAGACAGAGTCGGCAGACTTTTTTTGCATTTTCTGCGCTGATTTGGAAGAAAACTGTAGGGAATTCTGTGGAATGTTTTAAAAATGATACAAAGTGTTCAAAATATTTGATAAACAACAATACAAGGCTGTGTAGAAGTCGTGAATGATGGGTGTTTAAATTCTGGGGGATTTCTCTGGGCACAGATTCTGTGTGGGCCTACTTATAGTGACTTTAGCCTGTTGCTGACATCACTTCCTGCATGTTTACCCGGGTGTTGTTGACTGTTATACCGTGACTGTAAGGATTATGAATTGGTTTTTTCCTCCAAGAAAAAAAACACGATTATTTTAACACTATTATTTCAAAACATTTTCAAACCACTAAACATTTTGCAGGGTTTTGTTACCCACTCAGACTCCTCAGGAATCTTTTTTTTTAATGCTAGACACTTAAGTCAATAAGTATGAACTGTGTAAGCATGAGTGCTGGGTGAGGAAATGGTTAAAGTGTCAGTGGAGAGAGAGTAGCGCTGTTATGAAGGGGGGTGTGCCGCGTTTCAGCCAGTCAGTCCGGCCCGGGTTTTAGGCTCCGCCTTTCTAAGCTGGAACTACTTGCACTGTAAGCTTTTTTCCCCTCTCTGCTTCCCTTTTGCTCTCTCTTTCTGGCACTCTCTCACTCTTTCTCATACACTCTCTCGTGCTGTCTCCTGCTGTCTACCAGTGTGCCGTGACTGTGGCCAGGAGTTGTTGGGGGAAGGAAAATCTAAATTGATAATCAAAAAATTTTGATTTTCATTTAAAATACATCAAATGTACATGTTGTTGCATTACATTTGTGTATTATTGATATCTGAATCATAGAGTGGGGTCCAACAGTCTCAACCAATAGACTGAACACTTCTATTTTGCCGTTTTCTAGCTTAATATTTATTATTATTCTTTTTAAATTTTTGTTATTATTATCAGCATAATTTGAGCGAAGAGTTTATTTGAAAAAAGTCTGTTTGAGAATTTCCTAGTAGTTGGAAACTTGTGTGCTTCTGTGGTAGCAACGTAATCTGACCTTTTGTTCAAAGGAGTTCACATGGTCAATGGTCACATTTGCTTACCTTTGACTGGTGACCTAGAAGTGCTGAATCTAAAGTACTACTTTATTTTATGTCAGTTTTATTTGTTGTATTATTTTTTTCACAGTCCTAAAATTTTAAATAAAATAAATTATAAATAAAGAATACATAATTAAGAATTAAGAATAATAAATAATTATTTTTTGGATCCCATTCCCCAGTAGGCTATAAACTACTGTTGACATTTTTGGGGATGTTTTTTGTCTTTGTCTTTTGTCTTTTACTTATTTTAACTTGAACTATTATTACTAAATTTAATATTTGTATTCTGCCAGGGCAGTTAAATTGAACAAACATGACAGTAAAGAAGTTTATAATGTTTCTTAAGCTTTTCAAATCAGCATATTAGAATGATATAAAGGATCACGAGACACTGAAGACGTAATGATGCTGAACATTCAGCTTGACATCACAGGAATACATTACATTTTAAAATATATTATATAGAAAATAGTTATTTCAAAGTGTAATATTATTTCACAATAAATAAATGTAGCCTGCATGACCATAAGAGACTTCTTTCAAAAGCTTTAAAAAACCCTTATAGATCCCAAACCTTTGAACTGATTTCATTAATTTTCACTTCAGTGATTTATGTGTATAGCCAATAAGGCAGGTTTTATTTGATATTGTGTTTGAACATAGGGTACTCAAACTGTATTCCTTTCAATTTCTGACAATCTGTTTTTGGGTCCCGTGTTTTATATATTGCCAGAC